CGGGATGATCCAAGAAGCCTCCTCTGAGAGGAGGCCGGCAGGATGTGAGGGCAGTGGGGAGATAACCAGACACAGCTTGCTGGTTCGGAATCTGTTGTCGTTCTATTCCCATCACCCCCTCCACCTTCCTGTTGCAGAAGCGAAGGCTGCCTGCGTTCCAAAGTGCGCCAGAGCTCTGTTGCTTTGAGCAAAGCACTGGATTTATGAAGTGGAGTCCTTCCACAGTAGGAAGGGAGGAATAAATTTAGCCACGGAGCCTCTTGGGCTTGCCAATCGGAAGGTCGGCGGTTCGAATCCGCACAACACGGTGAGCTCCCGTTGCTCTGTCCCAGCTCCCGCCAACCTAGCAGTTCGAAAGCACACCAGCACAAGTAGATAAATAGGTACAGCTGTGGCGGGAGTCTCCGTGTGCTCTGGTTTCCGTCACGGTGTCCCGCGGAGGCCAATTCTGGATCCACACGTCCTTCCACAGTGTGGACATAGGTTTCTGGGCAGGAGTTGATCCTGGTGATGGTTTGCCAAGCGTGCCTTCCTCTTAGCGCGTTCCCCCTTTTCGCCCTGAGTTCGCGCTTCTTCAAAGCCCAGGATTTAAAAAAAAAACGAAAAAGAAGCTTGGAAAAAGAGAAATGGAGGAAAACCAAAACTGGTAGGTCCCTCTTCCACAGTCAGCCTTGCGACTTTCTGGCATGGGAGCCCGTTTTCCTCTGGGTTCCCTGCCATTTCGTTTTGTAGTCGTGGCTTCTTGTCTAAATTTATGTGAAACGGGCCTCCGTTAAGGTTAAAAAGCTCTCCAGCTAAAATGTCATAAAACACAATTACAACCATAAAACCCCTAATAACAGCCAGACATAAAAAAATGATGTTAACATCCAGCCCAAGCCGCACCCACTCGATATATGTAAAGCACATTGAATGCACATGGCTTGCCCCTAAAGGATCATGGGAACTGTAGTTTTCTTCTTCTTCACAGAGCCACCACCCCAGCACCCTTGGCAAACAGTTCCTACGGCCGTTGGAGCAAAGCCACGAGTTTCACGCTGGCTTTAACTGTCTGGTGTGGGTGTGCCGAATGGGTTACGTGACTACGACCCAACCTTTCAACAGCACAAGAAAGACACAACTTGGGAGCATTCAGACTAAAGCAGAGGAACCCAGAATGCCGAAACATTCAGTGGATGGGGGCTCTTGGGACATGGCTGGTCCAGTGCTCCAGAGAGACATGGTGCTGCTGCAGATACGGATGCGGGTCTCGCTGTGGTCTAAACCTCTGAACCTCTTGGGCTTGCCGATTGGAAGGTTGGCGGTTCGAATCCCCACGACAGAGTGAGCTCCCGTTGCTCTGTTCCCAGCTCCTGCCAACCTAGCAGTTCGAAAGCACACCAGTGCAAGTAGATAAATAGGTACCACACCGGCGGGAAGGTAAACAGTGTTTCCGTGTGTTCTGGTTTCCGTCACGGTGTCCAGTTGCACCAGAAGCAGTTTAGTCCTGCTAGCCACTTGACCTGGAAAGCTGTCTGTGGATAAACGCTGGCTCCCTTGGCTAAAAAGCGAGATGAGCGCCGCAACCCCATAGTCACCTTTGGCTGGACTTAACCGTCCAGGGGTCCTTTACCTTTTTATCATTATCTGCAGACAAGGACCTCCTCCATTGTACTTGCCTTCCAATCTAGCTGTTTTCAGAGGCAGGGAATCCATCACATACAGATTTGTGGACTGCCATATATATATATTCCTATATATAGATATATAAAAGTAAAGGTAAAGGGACCCCTGACCATTAGGTCCAGTCATGGCTGACTCTGGGGTTGCGGCGCTCATCTCACTTTACTGGCCGAGGGAGCCGGCGTACAGCTTCCGGGTCATGTGGCCAGCAGGACTAAGCCGCTTCTGGCGAACCAGAGCAGCGCACAGAAACACCATTTCTTTTCCCCCCGGAGCGGTACCTATTTATCTACTTGCACTTTGACGTGCTTTCAAACTGCTAGGTTGGCAGGAGCAGGGACCGAGCAACAGGAGCTCACCCTGTTGCGGGGATTCGAACCGCCAACCTTCTCATCGGCAAGTCCTAGGCTCTGTGGTTTAACCCACAGCGCCACCCGCTTCCCACCATATAGAAAACTCCAAAATTTAGCCCTCAAATTCAAAGCTTTGAAAAGCACAGTGGTCAGAGACCGGCAGGCAACTGTTGCTGCTGCTTCTCTCTCCTCCTCCTCCTCCTCCTTTTTCTTCTTCTTCCTCTTCTGGATTGATTGATTGTGTGACTGTGGAAATGGATAAAAGCCCCCATCCAAATAACGACTATCATCCGTGCAGGTAAGAATTTTATAAAATTCATAATAAAATTCATGGTAAATTGCTGTTTTAGGGGCTGTTTTTCTGGAATGGGTTAATCCATTTTGCATTACTTTCTATGGGAAAGCACGCCTTGGTTTTGGTTTTGGAATGGACTTCTGGAATGGATTAAGTTTGAGAACCAAGGTACCTCTCTCTCTCTCTCTCTCTCTCTTTCTCTCTCTCTCTCTCTCTCTCTCTCTCTCTCTCTGTGTAATTTTTTAAATTAAATTTTCTAATTTACATTTCAAAATAAGAAGTCTTCCCCTGCTATAATCTTTAGGTTCCCTTTAACCCTGGGCACTTGTTTTATTTCCCAGTTCTCTCAGAAAACTGGATTGCAAAATTCAGAGAAGTGTGAATGTCAAAGGATGGCTGTTTTTCTCTCCACGTATTGCAAGGATGAATGCACACTGTGAAACTATCACCATTTCCTTCGCGAGAATTGCTCAGGCGTGAAGGAAAGGCACTCTGCACATGCCCAGGAATATTGCATTTTTTGTTTTTTTGTTTTTACGTCATAATGTTGCATCTCCAAATATTGGCTGCGTGAGAAAGCCACTTCCACCTTCAGGAAGGAGGTGGGTTGCAGGCTTCAAGGCCCCTCCACACCCGCGGTGGGTGGAGGCCAGCCCCACGCGATTGGGGGAATTCCCAGCCGCGTCACCCCCTAGCCAGCCAATCGGCTGGTTCAGGGGCGTGGCCTGCCCTATAAAGGCAGGACGCGGCCGGGGATCTCCCTCTTTGCTGCCTGCCAGCTGTTCCTGTTTTCCCACCCTCCCGCCCTATAAGGTTTTCGTTCTTTGACCTTGCTATGGACCTCGGTTGGTCGCCGTCGAGGGGCCTGGTAGGAATTTTCCCACTTGGCAAATTGGCACCAGCCGCTTGGTTTTTGCCAACCTCGTATCAAATCGCCACGACTTTCTGGGTATTGGCAGTTAGGCATTGGTATATTTCTGTAGATGGAAGAGGGGAGGTAGTGCCATCACCTGCCCCACATATTGAAGGGTAGTCCGTTAAAGCAGTGTTCCCCAACCTTGGGCCTCCAGCTGTTTTTGGACTACAATTCCCATCATCCTTGACCACTGGTCTTGCTAGCGAGGGATGATGGGAGTTGTAGTCCAAAAACAGCTGGAGGCCCAAGGTTGGGGACACTGCATTAAAGGATTCCAGGGTGTGTGGCCCTGTCCGAAGCCTAGGGAGGTGTGGGCCTAAGGCACACCCCCTATTGGTGACCCCGGGGGAGTTCCTAGTTGATGTGCATCAGCAGGACGCCCCCTACTGGTGGTTAACCCTTCCCGGACTTCAAGTGGACGGGCTGAAGTCGGATATGGTCGGTTAGGACCAGTGCCTAAGCCAATATCGTTCATCACCTGTAACCAATAAAGTTGTGGCCTTTTTTTTTAGCACATTAACCTTAATAATTGCATAAGGTAAAGGTAAAGGTACCCCTGCCCATACGGGCCAGTCTTGACAGACTCTGGGGTTGTGCGCCCATCTCACTCAAGAGGCCGGGGGCCAGCGCTGTCCGGAGACACTTCCGGGTCACGTGGCCAGCGTGACGAAGCTGCACTGGCGAGCCAGCGCAGCACACGGAACGCCGTTTACCTTCCCGCTAGTAAGCGGTCCCTATTTATCTACTTGCACCCGGGGGTGCTTTCGAACTGCTAGGTTGGCAGGCACTGGGACTGAGCAGCGGGAGCGCACCCCGCCGCGGGGATTCGAACCGCCGACCTTTCGATCGGCAAGTCCTAGGCGCTGAGGCTTTTACCCACAGCGCCACCCGCGTAATAATTGCATAATGTGTCATTATTTCCACCTGGGGAACTCTCCATGCAATGCTGGGGTCAAATCACTTGTGGCTTCCTGGGACAGCTCAGCAGGCAGAGCCCCAAGACTCTTAATCTCACGGCTGTGGGTTCCAGCCCCACACTGGGCAAAAGATTCCTGCACCGCAGGGGGTTGGTTTGGATGACCCTTGGGGTCCCTTTCTACAATTCTATGAGTCTATGAAAGAAAAGTGGAGCAGAACAAGCAGGTCCTGTACAACACTTTCGTCCTTTCTGCCTTCCTTCAAATCACTCTTCAATTTGCGGACTTCCCTGTGTGGCCTTCCTTTCTGAAAATCACCGCTCCAAATTTTGACTGCCCTCGTCTGTATCCATCCACTCCCTGGTTTTCCCCCCATGCCCTCCCCCCCAGTCTCGTTTGCTTATTTTACTTTGTAGGCTCCTAGGAGGCGGAGAGCCGTCTTCCACATTTTTGCCTCCGCGAGGAAGACAGCATGCGAATCGATGATGTCTACAAAAAGTGCCTCTGAAACGGCAGACGCCCGCATGACATCCTCGCTGAGCTATTTCAAATAAAATGTCCTCACCTGGTACTTAAAATAAAATCTCTCCTCTCGTCTCTCCACACCCCCTCCCCTCCCCCTGACATCTAGATTTTCCAGCCCTCTCATCCTTCTCTCTTCCCATGGTTTTGGAGAAGCAGCACTGATCGTCTCAGGAAAGACACGCTTAATCTTTTGGGCACTGGGGGGAAATTTGACACCCTCAGCCTTGGTGATGGAGGGCGGGGCTTGGTGAAACCCCTCCCCTCGTACATTTGGCTCTGTGGACTGCACCTTCTCCGCCCCCTCCTTTCACCCCCCCCCCCAGAAAAAGAGTTGGAAGGCAGGAACAGATCCACCAAACCCTTTCACTGTTCCCCCTAGAGCAGAGAAGCTCCAAGGTGAATGTGAAAAATGCAAAGTAGAGGAGAAGGAAAATAGCCGCTGAGGAAGGAGATAATCTCTTGAAAAGTGACATAACCAGAAGCCTTGGGGTTGTTTTTTTTTGGTGTGTGGGGTTTCCCCCCCTTCCATGTGTGCTTCTCGCTTGCTTTCTCTCCCCCCCACTGCAACCCTGCTGTTCTGTCTCCAAAGGATTGCTGAGTTGAGGCTGGCAGCTGGCTAGGAAGAGGAGGAAAAGTCGGCGTTTATGCACACCAGACGCACCAGCGCAAAGAGACTCCAGCTGCGGCCGGGAGAAGCGCTTCGGAAAGGGCATCTGAGTGACCTTTGGAGGCCCGAAGGCCGCCACCTTCCTCGCAGGGGGAGGCAAGAAGAAGTGGCAGGGACTTAGCCAGCTGGGGGAGACTGATTCGCCAGGTGCCCACAGGGAGGCTCCGCTGGTGAGGATCACACCTGGCCCAGGGGCAGAGGTGGGCGGCAAGAGCCACGTGCAGAGGTCCACCTGCTTGACCTCCCACCAGAGGACCTCTTCTCCCTCAGGGCAAGGCGCAGGAGGAAGGCCCAGGTCAGCAGAGGGAGCGTCCTCCGCCGCCGAGAGCCACAAAAACTTCTGGAATCTGCATCTGGGTGGTGTCGTCCCCCGGACCGTTTCTGATGTCCTTCAAAGTCTGGATCTCCAGGGAGCGAGAAGATGGGTTTTGGTAGCAGAGCTGCCCTGGTTTGGCAGAAGGCAGAAAGCGGAATGAGGTTTTGCAGGGCGGTTGGTGGTCAGAAGGAGGATTAACCCAAAGTCGGGTGTGGAGGTTTTTCTGGAGTTGCCGCTGAATTCTTTTTGGACTTTTCTGGATGAGATGGGCCCTTTGAGGTGATTTGTGTTCCCACCCCTCGTGTTTTTGTGGGTTGTTTGTTTTGTTTTTGCAAGGATGACTGTCCTTGTGGGTTTTGGTTCTTTCGGAGATCTCTGCTTTCCCGGGGACGCTTTTTGACGGATGACTTTCGGAGAGACTGGACTGCGAAGGTAAGAGGACGGGGGTTCTTCCCATTGTTTTCTGGGCTGTTAGGGAAGGGTGAAATCCTGCTTTCCAGGGGAGGTGGAAGTTTGAGGACATGCAGAGTTTTCGGACAACTTGCTGAGATCATTTTAACAACCAGATCAAGAGGAGAAGTGCCTTAAATATGGGAGGGTGACGGAAGATGTGTACATTTCCTCCTTTCCCCCCAGTGCCATCTCAAATCAGATCTGTCCCTGCAGCAGAATGAGGTGGTCGGATCCTGAGGAAGTAGAATGGCTTTATACCCCTTCAGGCTGCATGGAGTGGCGGGGGACATAGGAAATTATACATTGGTTTATTTACTCTCCGGTGTTTCACACAGGGGGGTCATTTGCAGTCCCCCCTAGAGATGACAAGGATTGAATCCTGGCATCCAAAACAGTTGCCCTACCCCTGGGCTCCATCCCTCCTCCAGCCACAATTTTGAGCATCCCCCCCCCATATTAAAATGAAAGCAAAGCAAAATGCCCTGCAAGCAGAAATCTAGCACAGCACACAGAGGGCAAGGTTTTTCTCCTTGCGGTCAAACAAGGAGCTTGTTCTTCTTCTTTTTTTCCATTTTACAAGGCAGGGAAGCATTTGAGCATTTCCCCTCCGCTTGCAACCTTGAAAGCAGCATAGTCAGTGGCGTAGCGTGGGGGGTGCAGGGGGGCCGGCCGCACCGGGCGCAACATCTGGGGGTTAGGGTTAGGGGGCACAAATCCACGGATTAGGGGGCGCAAATTACTTGCCTTGCCCCGGGTGCTGACAACCCACGCTACGCCACTGAGCATAGTCCACTACTCTTTTCCTCCTCAGGGCCATGCAATTGGGCAAAGTGGAAATTCTATTTTTTGAACACAGGACCAGAGTCAGGAATTTATTTCTGGGCGGCTTAATGTAGCCTATGGTGAACGAACTTTACAAATTTGAGTGGCTCTCAGATCCTGGATAGAGAATAGTTTCCATATCTCTTGTTAGAGTGGTAGGGCAGTGCCAAATACTCAACTAATTGGGACTAAGAGTTTATCCCTAGATTTAAATATTTGTTTTTTTTAAAAGGGGTTAGGGGAATACCAAGAACACCGATATACCAACTATTTCAACTGCTTCATTCACTAATTAATGAATGGCACATCTCCCCAGTGTTGACAGGGATGTGCAAAGTTAAAATCCCCAGGGAAGAATTTTGCACGTGAAATAACGGCTCGACGCACATGTTTCAACAGTGCGTAAACCAGAAAACTCTGCTTTCTCCCTGTACAGTTAGTGCAGGGCAGGGAAATGAGGGCACAAAATATTCCTCTGTTTTCACGAATACATAAATGAGTATCAGATCAGCCACTCGCATCAGCTATGAACTCGTTTCCAGAACTGCCCAACTTCTACTTACGGGAGCAAAACTACATAGCCGACTATAGCAAACTCGGAATTTATTTATTTAGCGAAAACTAGCTTTGGGATACAAGGTGATTTCCTCAATCGCTGGCGACAAGAGCATGAAGCTTGCACCTTGTAATCGGTATGCCTAGGTGCACATTTAGAAATACCGTATTTTTTGCTCTATAAGGCTCACTTTTTCCCTCCTAAAACCAAGGGGAAATGTGTGTGTGTCTTATGGAACGAATGCAGGCTGCGCAGCTATCCCAGAAGCCAGAACAGCAAGAGGGATTGCTGCTTTCACTGCGCAGCGATCCCTCTTGCTGTTCTGGCTTCTGAGATTCAGAATATTTTTTTCCTTGTTTTCCTCCTCCAAAAACTAGGTGCGTCTTGTGGTCTGGTGCGTCTTATAGAGCGAAAAATACGGTAATTGCAAAGGTTTATATACAGATGTGTTTCATCTCCTGGGAATGGGGACGACTGACAAGGTGACTTGTCATCTGCATCTGTAAACTGCCTTGAGTGTTTGTCTGGGAAAAAGACGAGGAATAAATATACCACCACCACCACCACCATCAATATCACACTCTGTTGTTGATGTGCTCACTGTGGATGGGAAGCATGGAAGTATTTTCAGATCTGCCTTCTTGGCGTTATTTGGCAGCGTTCAGACCAGCGCCGGATTTACGTACAAGCTAAACAAGCTATAGCTTAGGGCCCCACTCTCTTGGGGGCCCCCCAAAAAAATTAAAGGAAAAGTAAACACTGGATGTACATTTCCAAAATATAAGATAAAAAACAAACCAATAATATAAGACCTACATACAGCAACAATGCTTTGTGTTGTGTAGGCTCCTATGATGTAAGTCATGGGCCCGGCCTGCTAGCCTGCTCCCTAAAATATCTCTGGTTTGCTCCTTTCTATATATAGGGTGCCTACATTCTACATGGACTGGTTGCACGGCAATATGGGCAAATGGCTTGAGATACCTATGAGGTCCATAAATGACTATATAGCATATATTCAACACAAAAAAATAGCAACAATTTGTTGTTGCTGGAGCCACACAGAGCAGCTGGGGAAACCCAGTCAGATGGGCAGGGTATAAATTATTATTATTATTATTATTGACAAAGGACAGCTGGACATAGAAAGGGCCACATTACCTTCAGTAGCTTAGGGCCTCATCAAACCTAAACCCAGCCCTGGTTCAGACTATACATTTAAATACATACGATTGGATCCTGACGTTTACCCACTACAGAGCTACATTTCCCAGCACCCAGAGCAAACTACAGTTCCCAGGATTCCTTTGGGGGGGGGAAGTCACGTGTCCTTATGTGTGTCTGCAGACTTTTGTCTCTAAACTAGGCTTGGGCTGGACAGTCCCCCAGACAGAGAGCAGACCCTCAAAGCCTCTCTGTTTTCCAGGGACAGCCCCGGATTTACGGAAGCCGCCCCGGTTTCTGATCTGATCCCGGAACGTCCCGCTTTTCCTTAGGGCATCCCTATTTTCATCGGAAAAACGTTGGAGGGCATGGAGTTATGTGACTGCCCACCCCCAAGCCAAGGAGATAAGTCACAATGCAGCCTTTAGAAGACATCTGGATAGGGAGGCTTCTTAATGTTCTATGTTTTATTATGTTTTCATCTATGTTGGAAGCTGCCCAGAGTGGCTGGAGCAACCCATAAATAACAAAATTGTTGTTGTTGTTGTTGTTGTTGTTGTTGTTCTTCTTCTTCTTCTTCTTCTTCTTCTTCTTCTTCTTCTTCTTCTTCTTCTTCTTCCTCTTCCTCTTCCTCTTCCTCTTCCTCCTCCTCCTCCTCCTCCTCCTTCTTGTTCTTATTTTTATTATTGGTGTTCCAGTCAGACAAGCAAACTGCTAGGTTGGCAGGAGCTGGGACTGAGCAATGGGAGCTCACCCCGTCGTGGGAATTTGAACCGCCAACCTTCTGATTGGCAAGCCCTAGGCTTTCCCGTGTCCCTAAAGGTAATGGTAAAGGGACCATTGACCGTTAGGTCCAGTCGTGGCCGACTCTGGGGTTGCGGCGCTCATCTCGCTTTATTGGCCGAGGGAGCCGGCGTACAGCTTCCGGGTCATGTGGCCAGCAGGACTAAGCCGCTTCTGGCGAACCAGAGCAGTGCACAGAAACGTCGTTTACCTTCCCGCCAGAGCGGTACCTATTTATCTACTTGTGCTGGTGTGCTTTCGAACTGCTAGGTTGGCAGGAGCAGGGACTGAGCAACGGGAGCTCACCCCGTCCATTGCGGGGATTCGAACTGCCGACCTTCTGATCGGCAAGCCCTAGGCTCTGTGATTCTCTGATCCTGAACTCAGCTTCAAGGTTCCATCTCTCTCTCTCTATAGATCACTCTCTTGTTTAGGCTTCCTCAAATACCTCTGGCCGCTTGCTCTTTCGAGATGCTGCCAGGCGCCGTGGAGTGTCTTAAGTCATATAAATTTTTACTGTATTGCAATCTCAAGTGCCTTCTGGAGAAGCGGAGGACCGCTGCCAAGCCGCTTCACGAGAAAACTTTGTTTAGGGAAGCATGTTTATTCCAAGGCCCTGCTCCTCCCCTCTTGGTTCTGCAGGCTGTGGCCGCATTTCCCCCCAAGCGCGCATGCTTTCCTTGACTGAGATAGTTGTTCCTGAACCATGCACTGAGTGGTGGCTGGTGCTCCTTGCGACAGGACCCAGAGCCAAGGACAGGGCAGGGCCAAGCCATTCTACTTTGGTCTCGCTCCTCTTCCCTCCTGAGTTCTACAGGAGCAGCCTTGGGTCTTGAGGAGCAGCAGGAAGGTGGAAGGAAGCATCTCCCTCTAGTTTGGCTGAAAGTAACAAAGGTCCGTATAGTTAAAGCTATGGTTTTCCCAGTAGTGATGTATGGAAGTGAGAGCTGGACCATAAAGAAGGCCGATCGCCAAAGAATGGATGCTTTTGAATTCTGGTGCTGGAGGAGACTCTTGAGAGTCCCATGGACTGCAAGAAGATCAAACCTCTCCATTCTGAAGGAAACCAGCCCTGAGTGCTCACTGGAAGGACAGATCCTGAAGCTGAGGCTCCAAGACTTTGGCCACCTCATGAGAAGAGAAGACTCCCTGGAAAAGACCCTGAGGTTGGGAAAGATGGAGGGCACAAGGAGAAGGGGACGACAGAGGACGAGATGGTGGGACAGTGTTCTGAAAGCTACCAGCATGAGTTTGACCAAACTGCAGGAGGCAGTGGAAGACAGGAGTGCCTGGCGTGCTCTGGTTCATGGGGTCACGAAGAGTTGGAAACGACTAAACAAGAACAACAAAGGATCTAGTGGCTGGCTGAGGGCATACATAGAACACCGGTCCTGAAAGACCTCCATTGGCTCCCAGTACGTTTCCGAGCACAATTCAAAGTGTTGGTGCTGACTTTGAAAGCCCTAAACGACCCAGTATACCTGAAGGAGCGTCTCCACCCCCATTGTCCAGCCTAGACACTGAGGTCCAACTCCAAGGGCCTTCTGGCGGTTCCCTCCCTGCGAAAAGTGAGGTTACAGGGAACGAGGCAGAGGGCCTTCTCGGTGGTGGTGCCCTTCCATCAGATGTCAAGGAAATAAACAACTATCTGACT